TCACAGTCCTGTTACACTTCACACTAATCTCCAAGCTGTTGCAGTGCGACTTACTCTGGGTGTAGCATTTACATTATGCTCTCTGTATATTCCGCCTTCATCGGCACTTCAACAGACTGATCTTCAATCACTCTATGATCAACTCCCAAAACCATGTGTTATTATGGGTGACCTAAACGGTCACAACCCACTCTGGGGCAGTACTAACACTAATACTAAAGGCAAAATAATTGAAGATTTCATTTCCAATAATGACCTGTGCATATTTAATGATGATTCAAGCACCTATCTGCATCCTGCAACTGGCACTTATTCCTCTCTGGATTTGTCTCTTGCAGATTCTAACCTCCTGAATGAATTTGATTGGTCTGTTCATACTGATCTTTGTGGAAGTGACCACTTCCCAACTATCCTTTCAGAAATAACTCCATCTGATTCTCCTTCGTACACAAGATGGAACTTTTCGAAGGCTAACTGGTCTTCATTTCAAACTAACTGTAAATCGAAACTGCGACCTGATTGTTTCAGTGATATAACTGATCCCATTCAAACCTTTTCTGATGTTTTAAATGAAATAGCTGATGAGTGTATACCCAAGTCCTCTACGACTCCACATGTACGAAAACCATGGTTAAATACAGATTGTAGACAAGCCAGAAAAGCGAGGAAAAAGGCAGAGCGTTATTTCCGCCATCATCCAACTGTCCATAACTTAAATAAATTAAAAATACTTAATGCAAAGGCGCGTCGTACCTTCAAACAAAACAAACGACAATCTTGGAGAAATTATGTCTCCAAAATTAATTCGCGCACGCCAATGTCTAAGGTTTGGAACATGGTTCAGCGAATAAAAGGCAAAGGTTCGAAATCAGCTGTACACCATCTTAAAGATGGTGATAACTTGATAACTGATAAATCTGACATTGCAAATAAAATTGGCTAAACCCTTGCCAAAAATTCATCATCGGCAAATTATGTCCCTGAGTTTCAGAGATATCAGAAACAAAAGGAAAAGACCGAACTTAATTTCGAATCAAATAACGGTGAAGATTATAATGAAGTGTTTTCATTACATGAGCTACATACTGCTCTTGAGCAAGCTCATGACACTGCAGCGGGTGATGACAATATACATTACCAGCTACTGAAACACTTACCGGAACCATGTCTGATGACACTTTTAGATATATTTGACAAAATATGGACGTCTGGAGAATTTCCTCCTTCATGGCGTAATGCCATTGTAGTCCCAATACCAAAACCTGGCAAGGATCATACAGATCCGTCTAATTACAGACCGATCTCTCTAACTAGCTGTGTTTGTAAAACCATGGAACGTATGGTGAATAATAGACTAACTTGGTATCTTGAAACCAATAACCTTATAACCAATATTCAATGTGGTTTCAGGAAAAATCGTAGTACCATTGATCATTTGGTACGCTTGGAATCCTTTGTGAAGACTGCTATAGTAAGTAAACAACATGCTGTATCAATTTTCTTTGATCTTGAGAAAGCTTATGATACGACCTGGAAGCATGGCATTTTGAGGGATTTACATGACTTTGGTTTAAGAGGCCGTTTGCCTCTTTTTATATTGAAAGACAGACAATTTCAAGTCCGAGTGGGTTCAACCCTGTCTGATCATTACAATCAGGATCAGGGTGTCCCTCAAGGCAGCATTTTGTCTGTCACTTTATTTAGTATCAAGATTAACAGTTTATCCAAGGTTTTAAACGATTCCATTGATGCATCACTTTTTGTGGATGATTTTAACATTTCTTGTCGTGGTAAAAATATGCATACTATTGAACGGCAATTGCAGTTGTGTTTAAATAAAATAAATAAATGGTTTTAAATTTTCCAAATCCAAAACTAATTGTCTACACTTTTGTAGAAAATATAAACCGCATAAAGATCCAGAACTATCTTTAAATGGCACTCCCATCAAAGTTGTTAAGGAGGCCAAATTCTTGGGTCTAATCTTCGACTCCCATTTAACCTTTTTGCCGCATATTAAATCACTTAAAGCCAAATGCCTGAAGGTACTTGATTTGTTGAAAGTTGTTTCCAACTCAAGATGGGGAGGGGATCAAGCTACCCTGCTCCACCTATATCGATCATTGGTCCGCTCGAAGCTTGATTATGACTCCATCGTATATGGTGGAGCCTGCAAAAGCAACTTAAAACTTCTTGATTCTGTCCACCACCAAGGCCTAAGACTTTGTCTTGGGTCCTTTAGAACCTCTCCTATTGATAGTCTCTATGTTGAGGCTGATGAGCCATCCCTTACCCAACGTCGTATCAAACTATCTTTACAGTATATAACAAAACTCTATTCTAACGAGTCTAATCCTGCATTTAACTGTGTTTTCAATCCTCTTTATGAGGAGTTGTACAACAAAAGCCTTCTCTTGTTCCGCCTCTTGGTTTAAGAATTAAACCATTTCTTTCTGCTGCCGGCATTGAGCTGGAAAATATATCTCCTTCCCGTCTTCTTTCTTCTCCTCCTTGGCAATTGGTTAGGCCACAAGTCGACCTAACATTAACAGCATTTAAAAAAGCAGAAACTAATGAATTACAATATAAACAAGAATATCATCAATTAAAAAGTAAATATAATACATATAAATCCTTATTTACAGATGGATCCAAGGATGGTGGCGAGGTGGCATGTGCCACTGTCATTGGATCCAGAACCATATCTTCTCGTTTACCAGATAACAGCTCTATTTTTACAGCAGAAGCAAACGCCATATTAACAGCCTTAAAATATATTAAAAAACACCCTAAATATCAACAATATATCATCTTTTCTGACTCACTTTCTTGCCTTCAGGCTATTAAAAATATTTCTTGTAAACATCCACTTTTATTAGAAATTATTGAATTGTATAATGAGCTTGCAACTGGCCAATGCGACATCGTCTTTGTTGGTTACCCAGCCACGTTGGCATTTCTGGGAATACAATGGCCGATCTTGCTGCTAAGGCAGCACTCAACAAATCTGTGACACCACTTCTTATTCCTTACTCTGATTACAAAGCCAGCATTAGTGCATACATCCGCGATCTAATGCAGAAGAAGTGGGACACCCAAGTAGGTATTAATAAATTACATGCAATAAAACCCTACATTGGTTACACCTACTTGGGTTGTCAGTCCAGATTTGAGGAGGTCATTATGCGACGATGTCGCATTGGCCATACCAGATATACTCATGAATATTTATTGAAAGGCGAAGATCCTCCGTTTTGTATCCCTTGTGATGAAAGGATCACAGTCAAGCATGTCTTGCTTGACTGCATTGAATATTCTATCACAAGGGATATCTATTTCACATCCAAAACTCTGAAGGATCTTTTTAATAATGTCATTTTAAAAATGCATTTTAAAAAAATTTAGATTTGTTGACTGATTTGTAAATAGTTAAATATTTTATTATTGGTAATTGAGATTGTTAGTGGCTGTACCCTCAAAGGGGGTTGACGTAGCGTAAAATTATTGTCCTCCTGAGGGGGTACGTAAGTCCCAAAACTTTCAAAGTCAATTTAAGAGTACCAGGTTTTTAATCGTAGCATTCTTGTAATTTTAATTGTAGCTAACATTCCCTACAATCGCCAGCAGCTGAAGGGATGGTGTAAATCCAACTAGGGTCCATGCAGGTAGCCAAGGTATTGTAAGTCCCCATGGTCCCTAGTTTGGTGATCTACCTTCTGGTGTTGGCGATCTATAGCCCTTTTTTTACATTGTATTGTCTTCTTTCATTGGAATATTTTAGCTTTGTTTACTAGTTTTATATTTTCATATCTGTGATTATCTAGTATTTTTACTGTCCTTCGTCGGCAGGTTTTTATAATATCTATATATATATTCTATTTCTTACTGTCAAATGTTCTCGTCACGATATGGCTGAAATATTGCCGATGTGACGTTAAATATTAACTCACTCACTCACTAGAAGGAACAAGGACCTATCACTCATGTGGACCAACCTTTAACCTTAGAAGGAACAAGGATCTATCACTCATGTGGACCAACCTTTAACCTTAGAAGGAACAAGGACCTATCACTCATGTTGACCAACCTTCATCATTACAAGGAACAAGAAGCTTTCACTCATGTCGACCAACCTTTACCCTTACAAGGAACAAGGACCTATCATTCATGTGGACCAACCTTTATCCTTACAAGGGACAAGGACCTATCACTCATGTGGACCAACCTTTGACTGAGCTTGTTATTGCAGTTGGATTTTTGGAAGGGATAATTCGACAAACGGATAGGAGATATAATATGATACGATATATCAGCGGGAAGTAGTACTCCAGCTTGATATGTGTTGTAAAATTAAAACAATAAAGTAATTGGTCATTTGTATCATCAGTGTTTTTATCATATCACAAATAATTAAAAAATTACATGAATAAAACTGCACTCATCGACTGATCTATTGTATCGATATTGGGAAATGATAGTAACTTACCCGTCACATTCAAAGTGACGTCATGGGAGTCAGACGAGACGCCGTTCTTTCCAGTACATCGATATATTCCTGCGTCCCCATCAGACACGTTCTTGATAGTAACGGTGGTATAAGATAGTTGTACACGAGTAGTGTTAGTCACTTGCTTGTCGTCACGGTACCAGGTGACTACTGGAACGGGTCTGTAAAAACGGTAGCATTCAAATCTAAATACATATTACATTGTGAACCTTGACTGAAACCATAATCTTATCGAATTTGTCGCAAGAAAAACAGTTACTGTATTAATAAATGAGCTAGTGACAAGATACTGTATGCGATGTTGTGTCGAATATATTTTTGTCCCGTAGTAAAAGCTTATTCCTTATATCGTCCTTTTTTTGGTTGTTTCGAACAACGGATAACTCGAAATATTTCCTTGGGTCCAAAGAGTTCGACATGAATGTACCTTTTTTCTTGTGTTTGTACTTTCGGTTAATGAAACAAATGACCATTTCAGAGAAAGAGCATTTCGTTATGAGCACCTGCCGCTGAAGATACACTGTTGTGTTGCAGCCTGTCCCTGTGTAGCGTCCGTTGTCTCGCTCGAATACATGAGTACTGGCCACGTGTCTGCGGCGTTACCTGAAACAAATACCATCAAGAACAGTAGCTCGTGCAATTTCCCGCTTCGCATGCGTCATTAATCATTCACTTGTGTGGCAACGTTGCACTTTTGTGTCAATAGCTGGATGTTTCGCCAGGATAGAGGAAATAGTTTGTGTTGACACTTACTATATCGCGTTGGGCGGTTGGGATACTAGTAGTTAGAACTTTCGCAAGTCACACCAAAATCCCCAGGTTCAAACACCCACATAGGTACGATGTGGGAAGCCCAGTTCTTGTGCCCCTCGCCGCAATATTGCTTGAATACTTGCTGAAAGCGGCGTAAACCACACTCACTTATTATCATATCATATGTGTACGTTTTGCTGAAACTGTGATTTGAAAATACTGAGAAACTCAATGGTATTGATTAATGTACCTTTCGTGACGTTCAGTTGGACCGGACTACCGAGTTGTATGGTAGACGAGTTAGTGACGCTGCACTTGTATACGGCAGTGTCCATGATGTTAACATATGAGAAGTAAAGTGTTCCTGTAACATACAGAAAATCCAATTACATTATGCTGTTAGAGTGAGTGAGTGAGTTTAGTTTTACGCCGCACTCAGCAGTATTCCAGTTATATGACGGCCGTCTGTAAATAATCAAGTCTGGACCAGACAATCCAGTGATCAACAGCATGAGCATCGATCTACGCAAATGGGAACCGATGACATGGGTCAATCAAGTCATCGAGCCTGACCAGCCGGTCCCGTTAGTCGGCGCTTACGAAAAGCATGGAAGGGTTACTGAAGATCAATTCTAACCCGGACCTTCACGGGTTTAGTGTTAGAACATTAATCAGGTTAAATGAGGTGAGTATTGGAAGTTTCCAGGTGTTTATGGTAATACATATGTTTTCTAAATGCAACTGAAATGCATTTATGGCAAAACTCAGACGAAATGTTTGTTTAATATGTAGCTTGTCCAGAATTAATTATGCTTATGGGCGTTCCTCTTACTGTTGGGCTGTTGGGATAATCTGGTAATGATTACCTTTGGCGGATATTTGTATCCTGGGGTCGACGTTGAGATGGGAAACATATCCTCCTTTAAGTCTATACCACCCAACATTCCCTGGGGGAGGTTTGCGGCACGTGAGTGAAACCGGCTGTCCGTCAGTTGCATACTTGCTGATCAGGGGAGCTCGGTTCTTCCACGACTGTGAGTTAGCTGAAAGAAGTAATGGAATAAACATGAAAGGGGCGTATGTAGGTATCTACATGTATATGTGTATCTGTATATTAATAATTTATGCACACAAACACACACTCACACATATTAATAGTCTCCATGATATTTATGTGTGTGTATAAATATATGTATGCGTGTGTGTATGTGTCTGTATAATGGAGACTATTGATATATATATATATATATATATATATATATATATATATATATATATATATATATATATATATATATATGAGAGGTGCATAAGCCTTAAATACATATATGATTAGTCCAGTTATTTATTCTTGTCAAAAGCTCCTGTATCTGCACTATATTATTTCGACAAGGAAATATCTGGACTCATTATTATTTATAAACTCATCTTTTATTTATAAATAAAATATACACATATATGATTGCTTGTTTGTTTAGCTTGTTAGTTTAACGCCGCACTCAGGAATATCCTAGCTATATGGCGGCGGTCTGTTAATAATCGAGTCTGGAGGAGACAATCCAGTGATCAACATCATGAACATCGATCTACGCAATTGGGATACGATGGCATTCATCAACTAAGTCACCGAAGAAACAAGATGAGTAACAAGAATGCTGCACCAGAACCTACACAATTATTTTACTAATACGTACTCTATCAAATGAGCAATTTTCAAAACTCACTTCATATCATATCATTCATTCCATGAAACAGTTTGATGAAATATGATGACATTTACGCTTGACTGAATTAATGCATGCCTTGTTTGCTTTATTGATCCATCAAACAAACAAGAAATCTCGTTGTATCCATCGAGATTCTCTGTCCCATTATGGGATTCTGTTCCGGGCTCTGACGTGTAGTTCATATGGACAGAGGTAACTTCCGTCAGCAGGCCAACAAAATAATGATGTCATCCGTAGGAGAACTAAACACCCAGCTAAATACCTAAGGCAACGTCAAAGTACCCACTTACAATGTCAAGGTCTTTCTTCACAGCAATGTATCTAAAGCATCGAAAACGTAATTATCAGGGAATGCAAAAGTTGTCATTTTCCTAAGAATGAAGCATGTTATATATCCTTGTATAAAGCTACAAATGATGACATAAATGCTGCAAGAACAGTTATGTGAATCAACGCGTTCTACTCACCCACAATGGCATACACCGCTGTTGACACCAATAACGCCAAGCGGATTTTCAGCATGTTTTTCTTGAATACTACAAGTAAATGTACAAACGATCTAAAGATGTAATTGTGTCTTCATCCCCGAATCATTTTGGAATACGTTATTGACGCTATTATTTAAAATACATGTTCGAAACAGGATTGTGATCAATACATTACGAGATCACTGGCATTGATCAGATCAATATCTTGCAAAACGCAATGAAGGGTACGAAAAGAAATTGTTGACGTCCAAGAATACGTTAATGCTAATTTATTCACATCATGTTACACACAGATGCGGCACACAATAATGAAAGCTCCAAGCCAAGTTGAGTTGAGTTGGGCTTTACGTCACATCGGCATTATTCCAGCCATATAGTGACGAGAACAAGCCTGCATTAATAATCATTGTAGGAACAGAGTCAAAATGAGTTTTATTTCAAAAACATATACTCATTACATTGCCATTTAAGGACAGAAAAAGGCATAGCACTAAATTTAAAGGCAGGTAATTTGTTAGTTACACATTGTTTGTTACACATTATCATTTGAACAGATCTTTCAGATTTGTTGCATCATAATGTGAGTCCCTTGCAGACGAGAAGTCCACACAGTCAAGCAGAATATGCTTCATGGTGAAAACCTCATCGCAAGAGACACACATGGGGGTGGGGGGGGGGTTGGGGGGCTCCATCCCCATCAGTTTTCAGCATATAGTCATGTGTAAACCGACTGTGGCCAGTACAACATCGTCGTAAAATTACCTCATCACGTCTTGACTGACAACCCAAGTAGGTATAACCAAATGTTGGCTTCAGTTCTTACACTTTATTTCTTCCTACTTGAGTGTCCCACCTCTTTTGCAGGAGGTCCCGAGTATAGCTTTTGATAGTGGGTTTGAAGTCACTGTACGGGATCAGCAGTGGAAATAAGGGCTTGTCAAGAGCTGCTTTAGCTGCAACATCGGCTTTTGTGTTACCTGCTATGCCGACGTGACCCGGCAACCATCAGAGTACGATGTCACATTGGCCAGTAGAAAGGTCGTTGTAAAGTTCTAAAATATCCAGAATGATTGGGTGACTTGAAGTAACGTTTTGAAGTGCTTGAAGGCAAGATAATGAATCTGTGAAAACGATGAAGTTTTTGGAATGATTCTATTGTTTAATGTAAGTCAAAGCTGAGAAAATAGCTTTGGCTTCGGCAGTGAAAATGGAACTGTTGTCGGGAATCCTAGAGGAGACAGTTTTGGATCCAATGACTGTAGCACTGGCAACTTGGCCCTCATCCTTGGATCCGTCTGTGAAAATGGATCTATGGGTGTCATACTTGGAACGTAACTGGTTGTATTCCTGCTGGAACACCAAAGGATTTGTTTCGGACTTTTTCAGTTTAGTGAGGGTAAGATCGACCTGTGGTTTCACCATCTGCCTGCCAGGGTGGCGAAGACAGAAGCCGGTAAGGTGCTATGATATTGAGATCCAAGTCAAGTCTCGGTTGCATCTTTGTCGAATCATTCAACTCAGCCATGTGCACATACATGGTAGTAACGACAACCATCCTCCTGCAACGATTAACACAAATCACCCTACATGTACAACATATGTTATATTTGGGATTACACTTTCTTAGTAAACTACGAATTCTAGTACTATTTTGGGTTGAGTCGCATCCGGGATTCGAATCCACACCCTCAGAATCTCAGGGACTCAATCCAAAAAAGTACTTAAATTCGTACATTACTAAGAAAGTGTAATCCCAAATATAACATATGTTGCATTTGACCACTTTCTAAATGGCATTGATATGATAGCTTTCAGAGAAGTATATACAGTGGGGATAACTTTTGCCAAAGGCCTCTGTAAAGCTTTATTTCATAGATAAAGCCTTTATCAGGCCCCGATCCCTCCCGTCCCCCAGTGTATATACCACTTTTGAATCCCCAACCAACTCCCTGGCCACTATGGCCTTGAATCGCTACTTGGGTGGCAACATGGTGCCGTGAGGTATGATCAATAATTCCTCTCTGACGAACCCCCTCGGCGGCCCGTCTTTCAAGTAGTCCAAGTTCAGTTCGTCGGCTTTGATGTCCACTTTATCTATGCTGTAAGTCTTGACCGACTATGTCGGGTCGGTTGCCTGTTTCCGAGTGTCTCCTTCGTGTTCCCCCGGCTGGTAGAGGTACCTCACAAGAACCCGGTCGGGTATCTGTTTCTCCTTCCCACGCGATGGTGCAGCCGGTTCGGCCGTCACTGATTTCAGTTTGATAGCGTCGGCCGGTTTCTTGCCGGTGAGACGAGTGGTTTCGTGGTTGATAGCCGACACCACTTGAGGTAGCCACGCTACCCATTCCGTCGATCGTCTCCCCGGGTTAGCCATCTCTCTCGCATACTGATGCCCGAATAAGTTGGGCACGAGTATTTCGACGTTGGCTAGCGTATTCTTCCCCAGCAAGTTCTGTTGGTAGTCGGACATCCAGTCCGGGTTCACCATCAAACGTTCTGGGGCCAGGGGGTAGTCGTTGTGTGACTTGTGTAATGCTGCTGGGTACTCCAACTCAACTTCGAGGATGTAACCTGCCCCTGAATCCGGTGGTATGCTCATGACGTCTATCTCAGGCACCGACTCGAACCCCCCGGTGGGTAGATACTGGCTCATGGCCAAGCCGTACAGGTTGTTGGCATCGAGATAGAGGAGATGATTGGTGGGTTTGCTAGAGTCGTAGCCCTTCACGTACTTATTGTTGGCTCTTGCGTACCGTTTGGCAGCCATGGAAATCCCACCTCGATGAACAGGTGCATGTTGTAATCGGTGAGTAGTTCCAGCTTAACTCCGGTCTTTTTCAGCAAGGCATCCCAAGAGAGACCGGGGCTGGTGTAGTACCACGCGGGGTCGAGGTGATACTGCTTGAAACACGCCTTTCTGAACGTCTCGAACACGTCAGCCAGCAGGAGTACGTCCGTTCCCAAGAACAGGTCATGGTAATCACCCAGGTTCCTGCAGCCCAGTTTCTCCCACACGTTCTGGGCGTGGTCGTAATCGTCCTGGGTGATAGCCGAATCGGTCAAGTTGCTGTAAAATTCACTGATGGGGGGTAGTAGGGTCTCGGCGAACTTGGCCCAGCTGTCCATGTACTCGTAGGGGTAAACACCCTTCCTCATCAGCAGGGGTCGAGTCTCGGCGTCGGTGTATCGACCAGTGATGGGGAAGGTATCGTTGGCCTTGACCAAACTGTCGAGAAACGACAGCAGGAACTAAACTGAGTCTATGAACCTCAGTGAGAAGGAGATGTATCTCTCCATGTTGTTGGGGATGCACGTCAGGTTGCCGTCAACCCTCGCGATGATCAAGTGAGAGTCGTACCCTCTCAAGTTGTGGAAGACCACGGGGATGTTGATTATTTTGGGGTTGATTCTGAGTTTGAGGTTGCATGCGCTGTGGGCTGCGCCTCTGTACTCGCCGGTGATGTGATAGTGATCTCTCACCGAATCGCCGTTCAGCGGACCGTCGCACACGTGACAGTGAGTGCTGCAGCCATGAGCTTGCCGGTCAGCTTGGGTCATACGCATGGGAACGACGGTGTACAACCTCTTCCTGATGGTTTTCTCTTTGTGCTGCAAGCACTTTAGAAACTTTTCAGCCGCGTCGGGACACCTGTACACGACGGGAGCTTTCGTTTCCCCATCACATCGGACGACCACGTATCCGAACCCACAGGCCTCGTGCTCGTGCGTTTTGTGCATGTTGTGGGTCGGCCCGATGTCAGCGGGTTTGACCAAGGCTTCGAAGTCGGTGTAGATGATGTAAGGTACGGACATCTGGTTCTTGTGGTTGTCGAATTTTAGGACATTGTCGCCTTCCTTGGGCATGTCGATTCGTATGGCCGTCTGCCCCACGCCTAGGCAATCCTCCCGGTGTGATTCCAGCAGGTCGACCCGGGTGAAGCCGTGCAGGCACCGTTCGCAGAAGGGACTCTTTGCTCTGTGTGCCGATTGGTCATACAACAGCCTGCTGAAGTGTTTTATCCACGCGTAGTGGCACTTGCTACCTCGCTGGATCATGAATATATTGATCACGCGACGACCCTCCATTGGGCTGATCCTGTGCACGATCGTTTTGTTACCTTTGTGTCCGAAGACGTTGATGGCTATGGGGTTCTGCTTCGCGATTCTGGTGACCTGGGATATGGGGTGGGGTTCGTCTATACTGTCCCAGTTGAGCCCGTCATCTTGAGGATAGCTCATAGGTCTGTTCGAGTTAACGTCAGTCAGAAACAAGGCGGACCTGATAGCTACTCTCATGCAATCGTCCCCTCTGTTCTTGACGTTGACTATGGCTTGTTTCTTCTTGTAGTAGGGTTTTAAGTCTAGGTACGATCCGCCTCTGAACGGTACGTAGTTAGCTATGTCTAGATAGACCTTTCGATTTTGTCCATGGCCCACCCGGACCCCCTGTGCGTGAAGCGTTCCAGGGACTCTCGTATCTGCTGAAGCGAGGTGGCGATGGACTCGTCTACCATCTCGGGTTGAGTCGCGACTTCTTGTTTACCCCGGAAGTAAGGCTGAACATACTCAATGGCACCGTCCGTCTGCTGTTTATCAAGTGACATCTTTACCGTGATTTGAAACCTGAGGCATCCCAGGTCCTTCAGTTCCTCATTGACTTTGTCAGCGATCAGAGGCTTGACATCGCCGAGGTCTATGTTCTTGTCTACATGCATGCGCCAGCCTTTCAGGTAGTTACCTACAGCGCGTTCAGTGCGCACGAACTGTAGATAGACGACTCTGTGCTGATGCAACAGTTCGACGAGCTCGGGTTTCCTCATCATCAATAACCCACCAGCCCCAGCTCTCTCGCTTCGAGTTTGAGTTGTTTCACCGTGGGGGGTCGTTGTACGTATAGCCCGGCTTTACCCAGGCGGGGTTTCCTCAATCGAGAGTAACCCACTACACCTCGTTCTCTCGCAATCTGCCTGAGCTCTCGGACAGTAGGCATTGTTATACCCAGGTGTATACAATCTCTAACTGGGTCACCGGCAAGGGAGGTAACTCCTCCAACCTTAACCCAAAAATAAAGGAGGGTAGTGGAACTTTGCCGTGAGCAGGTGGAGGGCTGGCGCCAGTAGGTCCACTTCAGCATCGTAATCGGCTATACTTAGGTAGACTGTTTTGATTCTGCACTCAACCCGCTCTGATAGACCTGGGGGAAGCATTCCAAGTATCCTTGTATGCTTCGTAATGAGGTGTTGAGGTACTTATCTAGCTCAGGTTGAGTCGTGATTTCTCGCCCACCTGTGATAGGGAAAGTATACCTGACGGCCCCCTTAGCCCATGCCACTCTCAGTGTGAACCGAAATTGGAAGCGTCCCAGGTCATTCAGTTCCTCTTCGAATATAGGGGCGGTGGGGTAGCCTAGTGGTTAACGCGTTGGCTCGTCACGCCGAAGACCCGGGTTCGAATCTCCACATGGGTACAATATATGACGCCCATTTCTGGTGTCCCCCCGCCGTGATGTTGCTGGAATATTGCTAAAAGCGGCGTAAAACCAAACTCAGTCAGTCAGTCAGTCTTCGAATATACCGGTGATCAGAGGTTTGATACCGGTCATGGGTATGCTCTCGGCTTTGTTCATCCGCCAGCTTTTGAGGTAACCTTTCGGGGTTATAGTACACACGAACGCAGGCTCTCGGGTGGTACTCATCATTATTTAATTGGGCCTCCGGGGGAGGCAAAAAATAATGAGGGCCCTTACACTTCCATCCTGAGGAGGCGCCTACGTTCGTTTATGTAGTCCTTCTTCATCTCGTAGATAAGCTGGTGGCGGACTACGTTTGCCCCGTGGTCTTTACATAGGCAGAAGTGGCATTTAACCCCAATGCTGCACACGAGCACGTGTAGTTCATGAAACACCTCCTGTGGAAACAACAGTACCCCTCGGTCCTGCATCTCCTACCGCAGATCTCGGTCTTCCCCATAAGCACGTACTGACATCGATATGGGGCAGGTCTCATCGTATACTCATATGTGTACTGGGTTTAATTGCTTTGCGATCAGCGCAGTCGCTGCTAGGCCTATCACGACGAAGGCCAGTTCTCGGCCCTTTTGCCCCGGGCTGGGTGCATAGTACTGGGAGACTGTGGGTTCCTCAAGTGGTTAGAGCTGTTTCCCGGTCAGCAGGTAGTATTCTTTCGCGGCGTCGTCGACGTCCTTGAACGTTCGAACAGCATGGTTCTCATGCTCAAGTCGTTCGTTAATGTAATCTGGTCTCTGCATACGTTTTCGCGTACTCGGCTTGCGCGGCTTGCAGTTGCTCCACGGCTATGTCATGCCGTTTCCGTTCCGCGTTCGACCCCCGTAGCTTCAAGAACAGGTAATTGCTCCTGGAAAATGCCAGTCGGCGCTCAAAGCGTGTTCGATAAAGGGGTCCTTCTCGAGGTCATCCCACAGGCAAAGCTGGCGTTCCGGGGGAATGGGGAGGAGGTACGACGCCAAACCAGTGTAGATCTGCGTCATGGTCGACCCTATAGTCTTCGTCATCTCGGCCCCGAGCCGGGACTCGTATCTCGCGTACAGCTTATCGACCTCATCGGCGGGTGGTTTCAGGATTTTATCAGGGGTATAGTCCCCAAAGTATTGCTTGGCTTTGCCGCCGACCGCCAGCGCCACCAGCTTCTCCCGCTTGTCGTCAGATTAGCGTTACGCTGCTTTTAGCAATTTTCCAGTAATATCATAACGGGGACACTAGAAATGATCTTCACACATTGTACTCGGGTGGGGAATCCAATCCGGGTCTTCGGCGTGACGAGCGAACGTTTTAACCACTTGGCCACCCCACCGCCCCTTGGAGCCTACGAAATTAATCCTGGTGTCATCGTTAACGGGACTTTCAAAGCTCATCTTTGCATGAATGACATTCTTCGTCCATTTTAACTACTAGTTCTATTATGTCACATGGTGTCCCCGATCTGCATGACAACGCCAAACTCTGTACCGCCAGAATTGTACACGACTTCATTGCAGCCAACAACGTCAGGATGTTGCCATGTCCTGCACGCTCCCTCATCACGTTCCTCATATAACTCCTCTGCGATGTCATGTAGTGTTCCTACAGCAAACAATCTGCCTCACCCGAATAACCATTCACCTCCTTACTCAGGTACCAGTGAAACTAAGCTTAGTTACAAACACTGCAAGATTAACAAAATACCTATTCTTCGTAGAATTAGGCTTCATGAAATGCTTCATAAGCATTCAAAACTGAATCTTTAACAACCACAGTGTCCAGTGTCGTGTTTGTGGTCAAACAATGATTTGTCTTCATACAATCGTGTGTGTTTTATTTGAAACTAAGTGTTCCTACTCACAAGACAGGATTTCACATGTTCTCGTGTAAGTTCAATAGAACAATTGACTTGCCTTTGCATGTATGTATGCCGAATGTCAACGCTTGGAGAGGACATGCTCACCTTTCACGAAAACAGAGTGACATCAATCGATGATATTGACCTTGAAACACATACTCTAGGTACAATCGGATGTTATGTTAGTCAGAGATTTCGTATGAGCATTGGATAGGGTTTTGTCGCTAATATTTTCAAATTTATACAATGTATTCTCCAACAAGGCTATACATTTTAACTCTTAGTACTAAATCTGCGCGTCACAACACACACACACAACCACACACACACACAGACAGACACACACACACACACACACACACACAGACAGACACACACACATGCGAGACACACACACACACACACACACATTGATGTGAAAATATCGGATTACCGTACTTCAGATTAGCGCGCGACCCCAATACTCCTTCTGTCCTGAAACTATGCAAAAGTACACCATCCTAAATGCCCTACGGAGAGACTGGACGAATTGTTTTCTCTGTATATATAAAAAAGTGAATAATTTCAGTTTGGTTTAAACTTGCTACTCATGTAAATCAAAATAAAATGTCAGTTATAATTCACAATGTTTTAACACAAATGCTAGAAAATACTATGCATGCTTCACCATGGTTTGCTAATGTTAAACGTATTTATTTCTTTATTAAATTTCTACCATGACTACGGTATCAGACGACAACTCACATTTCTTTGTTTTTCTTGTGTATTGAGAGTCCTGGGAACGCTGAATTCAGTGTTCACTGTAGCATGACCGTTCCCGCGAAAGCGACACCTAAGTAGAAGAGGTTTGGTCCAGATTTCGCTTTCCCGGGAGACACACACACACACACACACACACACACACACATATAAAATCGGATACTTACATTGGTCTCGTGTTACTGGGTTCACTAGCGGTGTGTTACAAACGATGGAACTGATGAAGTGCGATTGATATGGCGAAATCCGGTTTCCGTTTCTGGGTGTCACAATTGCACAGGGAAAAGAAAACGGAACACAAACAATAAAGTGATGAGATTAGCCAGGCATTTACTCATCCACACTTGAAGTCAAGTAGTTTCATAGCAAGTGCACTGTAACCATTGCAGAAGTGAAAATAAACCCTTTAAAATACTAAATGTCTGTAAATATTGCTAACCAATAAGTGAGTGAGGATTGCTGGGTGAAGACTCGATTATTTACAGACCGCCGCCAAATAGCTGGAATATTGCTGAGTGGATCTACGAAATCAACAAGGAAATTATCTTGCAGTCGATTCTAGTTTAGTTTGTCCTTACAAAGACAATATTAACAAATATTCATAGTTCCTTTCATAGACACCAGAAATAGGCTTCACATATTTTACCTATGTGGGGAATCGAACCCGGGTCTTCAGCGCTATCCCGCTCCTGCACACCTTCGGCGTGCGCACGGTCTTATAGTGATGTAACAGGGATTTAAGTACTGTGAGTCGGTATACATGTAAATGCTCTTGTATGGTAATTCAGTAGCCTAACCCTATAAAGCTGCATCAATTTGGACTAGTCCAAACACACACACACACACACACACACTCATACACACGATAACGTATAGCATATCGCTATTAAAACCTATGCTATCTCACCCTATTGTACGAGGTTTCTGAAATATATTTTATATGTATGTACGACGTCGTCAGAAGAAATCATTATATACTGAACCGCAAAAGAAACGTCACCTTGGAGTCAGTGAGTTTAGTTTTACTCCGCTGTAAGCAATATTCCAGTAATATCACGACCGGGGACACCAGAAATGGGGTTCAGTCACCATGGAGAGAACCTTTTTAAATTATTAGAATTAGAACTTTTATTTTTCCAAACACTTTAAACATACTTTGAGATATAGGAAGAAGATGAAACTCGGCAAGAATGATAATCAAGGTTGGAATGAAAATGTCAAATGTTCTTAATAAGAAACAACACACTATGCTGTCTGGAGTGGCCATCAAAACTCAGTATGTCGTGTGTCCGCCATGTGCATTGATTATTGCCGTCCAACGTCGGTACATGGAATTGATGAGGCGATTGATAAAGGCCATAGGCAGTTGACCCCATACTCTGAGGAACGCCTGACGCAGTTCAGCTGCAGTTGTCGCTCTTGGTCGTACGTCATTCAGCCATCGTTGAATCTCGTCCCACAGGTGCTCAATGGGTAATAAATAAGGACTGAGAAGAGGGAGGCCACTGCATGGTCCTGATGCCATTATGCTGGGGGAAGTCTCTTGTTGCTCTCGCAGTTTGGGCACGGACGTTATCATGCTGAAACTCGTGGTTGCAGTATGACGTGTGGAGTCAAGACTTGATCAATGTACCGAGCAGCTGTGACACCATTGCCTCTCTCTGGACCGATGTTCTGGAATACCACAGGCTCGACTTTCTGTGCAAGACCAATTCCAACCCACACCACGATATTCCAACCCACACCACGATGCTAGTGGCACCCCACGAGTCTCTCTCAACAACACAAGCATCCCAACGGCGTCTCCAGACTCTCACTTTGCCATCTGCTGTTGAGATACAGTAACGGCTCTCGTCTGAGAAGAGGACCCTTCTCCACTGTTGGTGGCGTCAATACAGATGCTGTGTTGCCCACTGTAAACGATCCTGACGATGAAGTGGTTTCAGAATTGGTCCTCGGTGTGACCTGTGATATTTGAGATTTCTGCTTTCCAATCGAGGACGCACGGTGTCCGCACTAAAGTGACGCTGGGTTGTCCCCGTGGTCTGTCGAGTTGTTTCAGCAGCAGTAACAAAGGACCTTGAAGATGTCGCACAATGTGACGATCTTGACGTCGGCTGGTGACCCTCGGTCTTTCACTACGTGGTCGGTCATCTGCAGAGTCGGTGGCCTGGTACCGTTGCCGAAGCCTGTATATGGTTCTGACGTGGACTTGAAAGGCATTGGAATATCAGCCGGGCGGTTGCTCCAGCTTGTAATCGTTCAAGGGCAAGGTTTCGCTGATATCTTGCCAATCTTGGCATGTCGTAGCAATTCAACAACGAATGAATGTTCTGGGTGGATTTTTATAGGGCAATACATGGGGAAACGCACATACCGAGATATTTCAATGACAAATTTTCATGCAAATGTATTTCAGGTGACGTTTCTTTTGCGGTTCAGTATAGTTTATTTCCGTAAAATACTGTTCCGACACGCAAACATTTGGAGCAATTACTGTCCCGTTTGCTACATGAAACGACCCCACATATAGAAGATTCGAGTGTTAATGTGTGCGATGGAAATAAAAATTAATTATTCTACTCATGGTATATTTGAACATGGTTTTACATCCATGGGACAGTACGGCCCGATATATAGATGTCTCAAGTGTTACTGTGTGCGATGGAAATAAAATTAATTATTCTATTCATGGTAAATTTTACATCCATGAGACAATACACCCACTGTTATACACCCGTGAAGATCGCGGAAAGAAGTGATCTTCAGTAACGAATGCTTGTCAGTTTTACATATTGTATTGTAGTCACATCCTACTGGGCAAGGATTCTCCTTCTGGTTGTCCACAGATGTAACCAATGTATTTAGGGGTACTAACGACTTAGTCAACTGGAACACTGTATATAGTTTCCCTTTCTTGTTCATCTTAGCTATGGATCCATGAAGATCCGGTTTAGAATTGGTCTTCAGCAACCCATGCTAGTCGTGAGAGGCAACTAACGGGATCGGGTGGTCAGGCTCGATGACTTGGTTTGCACATGTCATCGCATCCCAACTGCGAAGATCGATGCTCATGCTGATGATCACTGGATTGTCTGGTCCAGGATCGATTATTTACAGACCGCCGCCATATAGATGGAGTGCAGCGTTAAACAACCAGCCAGTGTTGTACAGTGTAAGTGATGGCACATTGTCCTCACAAACATGGTGGAGTGAAGCAACGCTGACGTCATAGAAAGTTCAATGGGTAACCCCAACTAGCAGGGTCCTTGTCCTTCTCCCCATTGCTCTCTGGATACCGTATTTTACCATCTTTTGTAAAGACCACCACACTTTGTACAAGTTTATTCAACAATAACTCCAAAAATGAAGAACAGTAAACATCAGTTTTACTATCATATCTTGATCACGTACAAGGATATGGTCACAATAGAAAAGACCAATGCTTTATCGAGGCAAAAGCATCATACTAAATGCACTGAAAATACATAACTATTCACATGTGAAGGTTGGAATGTTATATGTCACGGCACTGATATTCGCCAATTGTCATCTGCACCGTAATGGGGCGGTGGGGTAGCCTAGTGGTTAAAGCGTTTGCTCGGCACGACGAAAACCCGGGTTCGATTCCCTACATGGCTACAATGTGTGAAGCCCATTTCTGGTGTCCCCCGGCCGTGATATTGCTGGAATATTGCTAAAAGCGGCGTAAGACCATATTCACCCACGTAACAATAGAGATAGATAGAGAGAGAGAGAGAGAGAGAGAGAGAGAGAGAGAGAGAGAGAGAGAGAGAGAGAGAGAGAGAAAGAGAGAGAGAGAGAGAGAGAGAGAGAGAGAGAGAGAGAGAGAGAGAGAGAGAGAGAGACAGAGAGAGGTACAATATGAAACTGTGACAGGGATATTTCCTGACTCTCAGGGCTATTATATTACATGTACACTAATATTAAGTAGGGACCTTTCTATTGTAGTATAAAACCGTAACCGAGGGAGATTTCAACTTTCATGAATCATTTATCATTTAACACTTGACGTGTTCACTCTTGCTGCATTAGCTTTCTTTTGTAATAAAACTATTTCTATATTAAAAAACAGTCTGCAGCGTCGACTTACGATTCCAACTATATCATGATCAAGTGTTTATGACTATCACTGTCATAGAAATGACACCTGGTATCCACGTAAAGGTGGGGGTAGAATGTCATACTGGTATCACCATCATGAACACATGCAAGGACAAGTCAACTGCTCACCCGAAATTAAGTACAACGCTTTTCAGCAATATTCCAGGAATGTCGTGACGGGAGACGCGGGGCTGCACACATTGTACCAATGTGGAGAATTGAACCCGGGTCTTCAGCGTTACGAGCGAAGGCTCTAACCACTAGGCTACCCACACTCACCCGAAGGGACACACGTTACAAGTCTAAATGGGGAATTGCACCGGACGTAATTTTTGTCACTGACCCTTCAAATGTGGAAATGTCCACAACATGTCCACTACACAACATTTGAAATCGCCTTGAATGTTGTTATCAGAATGGAACAGCTTTTGAGCTAAGAGTCGTATGTCATTCTTTGAAATCTTCACTGGAAGTGCATACTCGATTCTTCCCCCAACAATCGTGAAAGGCGGCATAAAACGCCGGTTACTCAGTCATCTGATCATCCTCTGCTAGTACTAGTTGCAGGTACATTGGTGTATGCTTTCTGAGTGGTCGCTCATATGCATTAGTAATTTCGTCCTCGTTGATCGTTGAATAATATGAAGCTTGGTCATCACGTTCTGTCACCTCACCTCTGAGACTGAAACAAGCGATTTGCAATTAGACAAGTTTCCGAACTGTACATATGCATGCACTGGTTCGAGATTCAAGGCCATGACTAATTTGTCTAGAACCCGTAAAGATCCGGATTACAAATGATCTTCAGTAACCCGACTAACGGGATCGGTGGGTCAGGTTCTCTGACTTGGTTGACACATGTCATCGTATCCAGACATGGGTTCAATTACTTTGAAATGTAATTAATGAAATTACAATTACTTTGATTTTCCTCAATTACAATTACAAATACAATTACACCTTAAATTAAAATGTAATTAAAATATTTTTGCTATCTTCAACAAAACATAACTCACCCATATTCTCCTTTTCCTGAAAGTACAAGTAGCACACTTTGAAATTTGCCTAAATGTAGATATACGTCAAGGAGGGGAGACAAGTTTCATTTGTCTGATTTCTAGCCAGATGGGCTGTTTTATAATTGAATTATAATATTTTACCATCTTCTACCAAAGTGATAAGTGTGTCATAAATAGGCTGTATTGCTTGGATGATAGCCCCTTGACAAGAAGGGTACTTATATTAGTAAAGTTATCTTATAGCTAGGTAACTTATATTTAATATATGTTATATATGACAATGTAATTACACCGCCAAACACACACTTTAATTGTCTTCAACTTGTAATATCCTGAAAAATCGCCAGAAAGAACACTGTCAGTTACTGTGTCGTGAAGAATTCTTTTCAATCTTTCAGGCAAAGCTTGTCACCTTTGCTCTATCTTTTCTCATCATGTAGTCAGTGGGCCTGTGTAATTAAGAATCAACCGTATTACAAAAAATGATAACGTACAATGATATGTTGCCGTTTATCCGCATTGTAGGATGGGCTAAATATTCTTCAACATATTTACCATTTTGGAGACAGCAACGATTGACGCAAGCTGCTACAGAAGATACTACCGCAAGGAAAGCAAGGCAGGAACCACTGGTGATGGCGATCACTGTATATATCGCTGGCACATCTACATCATCACCATCCATACCTATATCGTTGCAAAAGAAAAACATACATTTTTATAATGCCTCAACACTCCAGACTGCGTGTGCCTCTGAAACATCGAACAGTACAAACACGGATGGGACTGAATAGTCGCCGCACAGAGAACCTTCTTAGTCCGAGTCCTGTTGGTGTAAAACTTCACAGGGCTATTTCGTGGAAGTATCAAATTGATTACTCTGTACCTGTCTATGTAGCAACGGCACTGTACGTTATTTATAACGGTATTACCTGAATGTGCAGCGCTTCACTGTCTACACGGTTCTACATAGCGCTGCACTGTAAACGTTGGATTCAAACTACTGGTTATTGAAGTTAACTAAGGACATACCAATTTAATTCACATATTCAATCCCTTGAAATTAAACAAATCTGACGGAGTGGATTAAGGTTACAATCACAATGACGTGATCTCACACGCACGCACACACATGTGTGTGTCAGCTTAATGTTGGAGCCAAGCCCTAAGTGCTGAAAGTCTCTATTACTATCGTGAAACCCAAGAAAACGTGAAAGGTGTTAAAAAACGTAGAACTCTAATCGGGGCGAACCGGAATTCGAGTCCACTCTGATATTCACTCACCCTGTTTCAGGTCTGTTGTCATCTCATCACTGTACAGTGCAGTTGCAACTGTCACGGTATATCTGGTTTCATCTGTTGATACACAAAAAGCAAAAAAATTATCTGAACTATTCATCAAACCAAGCATTTGATAAGATAGTTTTAGGTATATTAGCAGATATTCTGAAGTGAAGGATAGTCTTAGGTATATTGGCAGACATTCATAAGTGTAGGGTAGTTTTAGATATATTGGCAGACATTCTGAGTGAGTGAGTGAGTGAGTGAGTGAGTTGGGCTTTTACGCCGCTTTTAGCAAGGGGAATACCAGAAATTGGCTTCACACATTGCACACATGTGGGGAATCGAACCAGGGTCTTCGGCGTGACGAGCGAACGCTTTAATCACTAGACTACCCTACCGCCCGGAGACATTCTGAAGTGAAGGATAGCCTTCATTATATTGGCAGACACTTTGAAGTGTAGGGTAGTCTTAGGTATACTGGCAGACATTCTGAAGTGAAGGGTAATCATGGGTATCTTGACAGACATTCTAAAGTAAAGGTAGTCTTAGGTAGATTGACAGACATCCTGAAGTAAAGGGTAATCTTATGTATATTGACAGACATTCTGAAGTGAAGGGAAGTCTTGGGTATATTGGCAGACATTCTGAAAGTGAAGGATAGTCTTGGGTATATAGGCAGACATTCTGAAAGTGAAGCGTAGTCTTAAGTTTATTGGCAGACACACTGAAGTGAAGGATAGCCTTCACTATATTGGCAGACATTCTTAAGCGAAGGATAGTCTTAGGTATATTGACAGACATTGAGAAGTGAAGGTAGTCTTAGGTATATTGGCAGACATTCTGAAGTAAAGGATACTCTTATGTATATTGACAGACATTCTGAAGTAAAGGTTAATCTTATGTATATTGACAGACATTCTGAAAGTGAAGGATACTCTTGGGTATATTGGCAGACATTCTGAAAGTGAAGGGTAGTCTTACGTATATTGGCAGACATTCTGAAAGTGAAGGGTAGTCTTGGGTATATTGGCAGACATTCTGAAAGTGTAGGATAGTCTTAGGTATATTGGCAGACATTCTGAAAGTGAAGGGAAGTTCTAGGTATATTTACAGACATCCTAAAGTATACGGTAATCTTAGGTACATTGACAGACATTCTGAAGTATAGGGTAATCTTAGGTATATTGACAGACATCCTGAAGTACAGGGTAATCTTAGGTACATTGACAGATATTCTGAAGTATAGGGTAATCTTAGGTACATTGACAGACATCCTGAAGTATAGGGTAATCTTAGGTACATTGACAGACATTCTGAAGTGAAGGTAGTGTTAGGTATATTGACAGACATTCTGAAAGTGAAGGGTAATCTGCGGTATATAGGCAGACATTCTGAAATAAAGGGTAATCTGAGGTATATTGGCAGACATTCAGAAATGAAGGGTAGTCTTAGGTATAGTGACAGACATTCTGAAGTGAGGGATAGCCCTCAGTATACTGGCAGACATTCAGACGTGAGGGTTGTCTGAGGTATACTGGCAGACATTCTTAAGTGAAGAACTGTCTCAGGTATATTGGCGGACATTCTGATATTCACTCACTCTGAGTCAGGTCTGCACCTGTCACGGTAGATCTGGTTTCATCTGTAGGTACACAGAGAGAAAAATGTTATCTGAAATATTCATCAAACCAAGCATTTGATTAGTCAGTTTTATGCATAGTGACAGACATTCTGAAATAACGGATGACAGATGTCAGAACACATCGTCATCGTTTATCTTCCACCAAACATCTGACTGTCCGTGATTTGTCGTCCACAGACACGTGCCCTAAACATGACTGAGATTATTATTTGTGCATAAAAGGAACATTGATACCATGTATAAAATATCATTAAAACTATTCCAAAATTTCAAGTGCAACACATCACATATTACAGCGTATTCAGACAACATATTATATCTACCAATTTCTTACTATGACAGGGTTGGAGACTTAACATTTAGCAATGCGCTTTCATTCGCGCTATAATATTGAACAGCCCGCGACTAATTAGGACTGTTCCATTTCAGCCGTGGGTGTTGTCTTAATAAATCTCCCTCATTAGTGTCTAAGAAATGGGTGTCTAAGATATGGCATGGGTGTCTAAGTTTTGGGAGACAACCAATCTGGACCATTCACATCATACTCATCGATGTACGCAAATGGAATGGCGACAATGAGTTATTCGCATCTTGCGACCAGGTCAGTTGTAAGCCGTGACCAGGTCACGGATGTAAGTAACGCTCTACGCAGTATTCCCGACTACATGTCTTCATGATTTCGGAGAGACAACATGCTCGTATAATAGTAATTAAAACTGCACTCATCGACTGATCTATTGTATCGATTCTGGGAAATGATAGTTACTTACCCGTCACAATCAAAGTGACGTCATGGGAGTCAGACGAGACGCCGTTCTTTCCAGTACATCTATATATTCCTGCGTCCCCATCAGACACGTTCTTGATAGTAACGGTGGTATAAGATAGCTGTACACGGGTAGTGTTAGTCACTTGCTTGTCGTCACGGTACCAGGTAACTACTGGAACGGGTCTGTAAAAACGGTAGCATTCAAATCTAAATACACATTACATTGTGAACCTTGACTGAAACCATAATCGAATTTGTTGCAAGAAAAACAGTTCCTGTATTAATAAATGAGCTAGTGACAACATACTGTATGCGATGTTGTGTCGAATAGATTTTTGTCTCGTAGTAAAAGCTTATTCCTTATACAGTCATTATGTTTTAGGTTGTTTCGAACAACGGATAACTCGAAATATTTCCTTGGATCCAAAGAATTCGACCTGAATGTACCTTTTCTGTAGTGTTTGTACTTTCGGTTAATGAAACAAATGACCATTTCAGAGAAAGAGTGAGTGAGTGAGTTTAGTTTTACGCCGCACTCAGCAGTATTCCAGCTATATGGCGGTGGTCTGTAAATAATCGAGTCTGGACCAGACAATCCAGTGATCAACAGCATGAGCATCGATCTGCGCATCTGGGAACCGATGACATGGGTCAACCAAGTCAGCGAGCCTGACCACCCGATCCCGTTAGTCGCCTCTTACGACATGCATAGTCGCCTTTTGTGGCGAGCATGGATTGCTTAAGACCTATTCTACCCCGGATCTTCACGGGCCTTCAGAGAAAGAGCATTTCGCACCTGCCGCTGAAGATTCACTGTTGTGTTACAGCCTGTCCGTGTGTAGCGTCCGTTGTCTCGCTCGAATACATGAGTACTGGCCACGTGTCTGCGACGTTACCTGAAACAAATACGATCAAGAACAGTAGCTCGTGCAATTTCCCGCTTCGCATGCGTCATTAATCATTCACTTGTGTGGCAACGTTGCACTTTTGTGTCAACAGCTGGATGTTTCGCCAGGATAGAGGAAATAGTTTGTGTTGACACTTACTATATCGCGTTTGGCAGTTGGGATACTAGTAGTTAGAACTTTCGCAAGTCACACCAAAATCCCGAGGTTCAAACACCCACATAGGTACGATGTGGGAAGCCCACTTCCTGTGCCCCTCGCCGCGATATTGCTTGAATACTTGCTGAAAGCGGCGTAAACCACACTCACTTATTACTATATTATATGTGTACGTTTTGATGAAACTTTGGTTTGAAAATACTGAGAAACTCAATGGTATTGATTAATGTACATTTTGTGACGTTCAGTTGGACCGGACTACCGAGTTGTATGTTAGGCGAGGTGGTGACGCCGCACTTGTATACCGCAGTGTCCATGATGTTAACATATGAGAAGTGAAGTGTTCCTTTAACATACAGAAAATCCAATTACATTATTCTGTTAGATTGAGTGAGTGAGTTTAGTTTTACGCCGCCCTCATCAATATTCCAGTTATATGACGGCCGTCTGTAAATAATCAAGTCTGGACCAGACAATCCAGTGATCAACAGCATGAGCATCGATCTACGCAATTGGGAACCGATGACATGTGTCAACCAAGTCAGCGAGCCTGACCAGCCGGTCCCGTTAGTCGGCTTTTACGACAAGCATGGGTTACTGAAGATCAATTCTAACCCGGACCTTCGCGGGTTTAGTGTTAGAACATTGATCAGGTTAAATGAGGTGAGTATTGGAAGTTTCCAGGTGTTTATAGTAATACATATGTTTTCTAAATGCAACTAAAATACATTTATGGCAAAACTTAGACGAAATGTTTGTTTAATATGTAGCTTGTCCAGAATTAATTATGCTTATGGGCGTTCCTCTTACTGTTGGGCTGTTGGGATAATTTGGTAATGATTACCTTTGGCGGATATTTGTATCCTGGGGTCGACGTTGAGCTTGGAAACATCTCCTCC